CAGTACTCCAGGTGGGTTCTCACGAGAACAGAGTAGAGGGGGAGAATCACCTCCATCGATCTGCTGCTAGTGCTGCTTTTGATTCAGCCCAAGATACAGTTCGCTTTCTGGGCTGCAAGCGCACACTTGCCAGCTCATGTTCAGCTTCTCATCAATCAACACGCCCAAGTCCTTCTCCTCAGGGGTGCTCTCAGTTCATTCTCTGCCCAGCCTGTATTTGTGCTTGGGATTGCCTCGACCCACGTGCAGGACCTTGCACTTGGCCTTGTTGAATTTCATGAGGTTTGCATTGGCCCACCTCTCCAGCCTGTCCAGGTCCCTTGGATGGCATCCTTTCCCTCCAGCATGTCTACCACACCGCACAACTTGGTGTCATCAGTAAACTTGCTGAGGGTGCACTTGATCCCCCCTGTCCATGTCGTCAACCAAGATTTTAAACAATGCTGGTCTTAGTACCGACCCTTGCGGAACACCACTTGTCACTGGTCTCCACTTAGACATTGAGCCATTGACCACAATTCTCTGAGTGTGGCCATCCAGCCAATTCCTTATGCAGCAAGTGGTCCTTCCGTCAAATCCATGTCTCTCCAACTTACAGACAAGGATGTCACATGGGAGAGCGTCAAAGGCTTTGCACAAGTCCAGGTAGATGATGTCAGTTGCCCTTCCTTTATCCACCAGCGCTGTGGCCCTGTCGTAGAAGGCCACCAAATTTGTCAGGCAGGATTTGCCCTTGGTAAAGCCGTGTTGGTTGTCACCAATCACCTCCTTGTTTTCATGTGCCTTAGGATAGATTCCAGGAGGATTTGCTCCATGATCTTGCCAGGCACAGAGTTGAGACTCAGCGGCCTGTAGTTTCCCTGTGGTTTGTTTTTGTGTTTAGAACAAGGATGGGGTATAACCAATCTACTTGACTCTAAAGACTGTATGGTGCTTAATCACACAGGGATACTGCTGGAGGCACAGCCAGGAGCCCCTATAATAGGTGGTGTTTGAGGTGAAGATTTGACTTGCTTAATAATGTTATTTCTTGGCTTTAGATTAATAACAAGTCTTAACTAGTTGCAAGAGACTGAACTCCTAATGTAGGAAAGCCATACTCTAAATCACGAGGAAAAGTAAAGCTTGCTAAACTGTAAAGAAAGTTAAGATACTAAAGGGTGAGTATAGTAACTTCTCATTAGCTTATGACTTGGGAATATGTAAGAAGACTGTAATGGATGTCTCCTGTCGATCGCCAAAACATGTTAATGAAATCAAGTGTTGAGTGGAGGTTGACACTGTAAAACTGATGACAGTCCTGCTTTGAAACCCCATCCTACTGATGCATTTATGAAATTTTGCCAGTAAATTATGCTGTTTCTTATAAAACTTGCCTAGATTCATTCCTTATGGCTTCATTTAGTCTTAGGACTTGAGCAAATTTAAATATCCGTTCCTTTCCTTTCTGCAAAACTCCTGCTTTTATAGCCTAGTTCTGTCTTTTATTGTTAGATAAGTATCACCATGTGAGCAGGAACATGGTAGATAATGGACTTTTTTTTTTTTTTAATGGGATCTTTGTTCTGAGTACTTGCTCCATGGTCCATTTTTCCATTAATTTAATTTATTACTATTAACACTCAAAGGGAACCATTGTGCAACTTCAGGTTCTGGTAACTGTTGCAAGGTAATTTTAACACTGTTTTCATTTTTTGTAATATAAGCCAGAAAATCTAGGGCTGCTTTTTAGTTGGATAAGGATCACTTTAGTGTATGTGGGGTTATGTATTTTCAGGATTGACAATAGGACAACACTGGGACTCCTGAAGCGAGTGGTACTTGTAGTAATACTCCTTTAAATTTTTTCTTTTTTGTTAAAGTATTTTATAAAAAACTAGCGTTAAAAAACACTGTCAGGACTTCAACTATGGGTGTATATTCAAGGTGGTATCCATTTTAGAACTGAAGTGCCTTTAGTGATTGGAATACTGCTGTTGGAGTTCAAGTAAAAGATGACTACAAGCTTGCTTATCTACCTGCAAAATTCAGGTGAAGAACTACCCTTAAAAACAAAGAAAACCATTTTCTTATGAGCTAACAGAAGCAAAAAAATGCTCCAGCAAATTAAGATATTCTGTTATAAATTAGGCAGAGTTTCATTAACCTGTTTTGATAATCGGAGTCACAAGTCCTCCAAACTGAGATGATCTCATTTCCAAATATGAAGTTTGAGACTTGGTTAGTTCATATGGAAGAATTTACAAAGCTTATAACATAATTTAGGGGGTAGGGAGGGAGAGGGAGGAACAAAGAGTTTGGGGATATTAAATGAAATCTTCTGTGTTCACATCTTTAGTGGTGGTGTTGTTCATATATAGTGACTTCAGCTTACTGCCTTTGTCCAAAGACTGTATGGGATTTACTTCTGGGTGTTGTGAAGTTGCTATAAGTAAGACACTGCCTCTGTTTTGGCAGGGGTTGTTTCTTGTCCTGCCTCTTCATCTCTTAATTTTTTGCTTGCTTTGTGGTTCTGTGTGTTTGCTTTTACTTCATCACCTCTATGGATGGCTTCTTAGAGGAATGAAACAAAAAACCTCATGTGTTTAATTGAGGGGAACCTACTTTGATTCCCTTTTTTACCTTACGGACCTCTCAAACTGGTGCTAATCAGATAGATTCTTCTTGACAGTAACTTTTTTCCTCTTACTGTCTAAATTAATATGAGCTGGTTCCAAATAATACCTCTTAACTACTAAAAAACCAAACAACTCCCCCCTGAACTTCAAATACTGTTGTTAAGAAGCTTGAGTATCAAGACAGTGAGCAACCCTGCTGCTGCTGTTGTTCACAAGGACATGCAGATACTATTCAGCTCAAAATCTGGTTGCTTGCAAGGTTGATTAAGTTGCTTACTGTTCTGTTGAGGTGCATTCCTGTCAGTCCTCAACTGTGCACATCTCTCCAAAGAGCCCTTTTACAGCTTCTGGTTTAGGTATAGTACAGGTCTTAATACCAGCAGAAGTTACCCCTTTGGGAAAGCTAGCAAAACGTGTGGACCTTGGTAGCCCATGGAGCTGAGGGACTGGAACATGAATTCTGGGTAAGAACAGGCCTTTGAGGGTGGTGGAAGGAATGCAGGAGTAGGGCAAGAGGCTTAGTGAATAAACAAGCTGGTAGAAGTTCTCTTACCATCTTCCGTTATTTAGGACATGGTCAGAATCCTTACTGTAACTTGTTTGGTTGTCTGTAACAAGTATTTATACTCGTGCTAGGTGCCAAAGCCATAATACTGAGAGGCTGCTTCTTCCAGAGCTCATTCCCCTCTGGATGTAGGTGGGAGAAAATACTCTGGATACAGTGGTGGGATAGATTCATCACTAAGGGGCTCTGAAAATGAGCAGAGTTCTCAGTGTCAACTCTTTTGTTGTTACATCAGAGCAGTACAAATTTAAGTTCTTACGCGTTGTGACTTCCACTTGCACTGGGGGCAATTCAGAAAATAGTGTCCTTGGATCTGGGAAATTGGAAAAGGCCCTAATAGCTTCTTCTGTTCATCCTCGAACAGAAAAGTGGGGTGTCTCTGAACGACCTGCTGATTAAAAGGAACATTGAGAGCACAGTGAGTAAGTTTTCAGACCTGCTTTGTTGTCCTAGACTTAGAAAAATTTGAAATCATGATCTTGGCTGCAGTACCCACTTGTTTGTTGCACTGTGGTGAGGAGAAACAAGCATGGTTTCTTCACCTTGTTTACTGAGTTTTTGAGTGCTTTAGAAGGAAAGCTGTCTGGACAGCTTGAAATGTCATCTGTACTCCAAGTACTAATGCTTAAGAGTTTCAACTGCAAGATAATGTATTCTAATAAATAAAACTCAGAAATGAATGCAGTAATTCCTTGGAGAGAATGTGGTAACTGCAGTCGCTTGGTTGTATAACCTTCAGAAATCCTGGGCAGATTCCTCATTTGTGTGTGTCTTCCAAATAATTATGTCAGCGACAGATGTGCTGTTAAATATTATCCCAGGTGACAAGTGTAGTCCTAGTTCTTTAGTATACCTGCGTGAATAGTCTGTGGGGGAAGCGATTAGACTTTTGAACATCACTGATACCATTTGCTACCGTTTTTTAGTCTGATGGTTAAAGAATTATTTATTTTCTTGGGTTGCTTGTGAACCCTTGCAGAGAAGAAGCTTGAATATACAAGAAAATGGCAGATAACCTTTCATCCTTCCCTTCAAGTGAAAAACCGAACTGTTATTTCATATGCTTAAAACAAATGGACCACTGAAAATCACCAGCTGACTTCCAGAGACAGTTATTTTTTGATGCATCTTTCTGACTTTTTTGGTCAGCCGTTCAGAGTGTGCTTCATCCAGTGTAACAGCCTCTCTTCTGGGGTTTCTGTTCCATACAGTGTCCAGTGTCCTGTCCTGGTCTGCCGGTACTGATGAGACCGGGTGAAACGCAATGCTGCGGGCTCAGGCTGCGTGTTCAGTGTTTTAAGTGTGTTGGTCATGTACTGGGTATAAAATACACCCGGTACTAAGCAAGCTGGAGTTGCAGGTGTGGAAAGTTTGAAGGGGAACTGGGAGGAGGGAAATGATTAGGTGTCAGGAAAACATTTTGATTCGTGTGGAATTCTTTTATAGAAGTGAAAGAACTTTTTTCCTTGTAGGTGCTCAGAAGGGCTGCTGCTATTGGAGGAAGGATGTGCCTCACTATCACTATCTCAGTATCTTACCTATTCCTTGCATCTGCTGGCAGTATTTGTACTTGAAAGCAAAGAATGTTTTTGCTAAATTTTCCCTTTTTCAACTTTCAGTGCCTAATTAATTCCATCTAATATTTCTACAGGGATATATTCAGTGGAACTGGTAAATGACAGCTTGTATGAATGGCACGTTAAACTTCTGAAGTAAGTTAAAGTTTTTTCATGTTCTGAAGAATCTGTTTTATTATTGCTGCAGAGATTCTTACTTTTGATAAGTGAGAATCTCTAGCCATAGCATAAAAAATAGTGGGTGGTGGCTTCAATTCTGATGTACAGAAATTGAGCAGTAGTAATTGAGCTGGTGAAAAAAAACCCCTCTTTGCACAGCCAGCCACAGGTATTACTGTAACTTTCATTATGGTTCAATCCTCTTTCTGAAACTACTCCAAAATAAGAAACCTTAAATGATGACATTTTTTGTCTGGAGTTTTTCTCTGGATGGTTTCAGTTTGATTTTGTTTGTTTGGCTTTAATTTCAAGAAAATGCAACTTCTAGTTTCATTCGAGATGTAAGAAGGAACAGAACTGTCTTAGTGTTCTTGGTTCTTTATTTCTACATTTGAGCAGACACATAGGACTGAAACTTTTAGATATAACATAGTTATGATGTATATAATTATATAACCTACTTGTCTTGTCTTAGGTACTGCTTTTCACTGCGTGTGCTAGGGGATTACTCATCTTGCTGTGGCCATAGTCCAATAAGTTTAATCTAGGGGTATTATATTGAAATTACTCCTGTAACAAGATCATCTGCCATCATCCTACAAGATAACCTGTAGGAAGGAAAAGCCTATCCAGATTAGGTGGGGTGGCTGCAGAAGATGGCAAGAGTGAAAAGAACTTCTGTCAGTTCAGATATGCCATGGTGAATAAGCGTAAGGTCATAAGCTGTTTCAGCACAGTAGTTGACCTGCCTGTAGGAACTGTTGCCTTGTCCTGGTGGTAAGACTCTTATGACTGTGTCACCAGCTGCTGCAACACAGTTTTGTTTCCTTCTTGGTGTCATCATCATAGGCATGGGAGTTTTTTGAAGCTGAAAACGGCAGGAATGGTGTTTGTCAGAAAAATCTGTGCCATGTTGCAGGAGGCCTTGTCTATTGAGTGCTTCTGTAACAAAGTGCTCAAACCACTGAGCAGTGATTTGAAACCTCTTTTCAAGTGCTGTGGACAGGTCTCATTTTCTGCCTTCAAGAAAGAAGAAGGAGTGCATGCAGCAAATGGCTTCCAGAATGACTGAGAGAAGATAAGGAGTATTGTGTTTGTTTATCCCAGCAAAAAGTGTCTGAAAACAAATGAAGTGTGTGCAACCTAGTTGAGGGGGCAAATGTCAAAGAGAAAAGAGCCTATTTTCCTAAGGAACAGCATTGTTACGAGAACAAGTAACTCTGAACTGGCCCAGTACAAGCTAGGCTGGAAATGATGGCTTTCTGACCACTGGAAGATTTTTCTGCTGAAAAAGTTTCCTGTTGGTAGGATGCGGACAAAGTACCCCAGTCATTCTGCAATGAGATCTAATAAATTTGTGACTTCACCTGTAGCAGAGGATTGGATGTAATAGCCCATCATTTTGTTTAACATTTGCATTTGGCTTGCTGCGGGCATTTTTTGACTAGTCTCTTTTAAAAGCTGCTTGGGTATCAGAGCCTGGGTGGGATTAACCCCGTAGTGTCTAAATTAATGTCTAGGCTGCTCACCACCAGCATTTTGCATCAAACAATTGTTGAAATTCTGCTGAGCAGAAGCTGCTGGCTTTAAAAGTAATCTGCATCAGCCGAAGCTCTAACAGCTGATACAGAACTGTGATCGCATATTCTATAAAGGATTCACTGGCTGTGTACTGAAAACTAGATCACTGGAGTCGTCCTGCTAAAATCCCTCCCCTTCCTCCCTTGGGACATAGATCTCCAGTGAACTGAAGAGAATTCAAATTGCCATTTTCAAATAAATGGGTTATTTCATGCTATGTTCAAATAACACTTGATAGCATTGGGAATGTAGTGTGTGGCAGCAAGCTTTCATGCTGATCTTGTGGCAAATTTTATTTTGTGAAGGGAGCAAGAGTTTTCTACAATTCACTTCAAATTACGGTTTGTAAACTACAAGTACATAAAGGAGCTGTTTAAGAGTAATTACTATTTACAGGTAGTGAAAATATTAACTTCATCAAAGGTTTACCCTTGCTTCTTTTATAGGGTTGATCCTGATAGCCCATTGCATAGTGATCTTCAGGTCTTAAAAGAAAAAGAAGGTGTAGAATATATTTTACTCAACTTCTCTTTTAAGGTACGTGTCTATGGGAAGAAATGCTGGGGCTGAAGTTTTAGCTTACTGTAGAAAGTGACTGAAACAATCCTTAGCTGTTACTTGGGTAAAGATGGAGCTGTAACATTTAAAAAAATTTAAAAAAATTGCAACTTTTAGGTTCAGCACTAAAGCTTCACAAAAATTGCTTTTTAGCTGGTACTGTGGAAAAGTGATTTTTATGGAACTGAAAAATGTTACTGCTTTAAATCTGATTTACCAAATAAGGATGTTGAAGTACTTCCTGGTTAGGAAAACAGTGTCGCAGTATATTTCTTAACCTGTTTTTTGTTATGCTTTTCAGGATAACTTCCCTTTTGATCCTCCCTTTGTGCGAGTGGTATCTCCTGTGCTCACAGGAGGGTAGGTTTGAGTTGCCTTACAGAAATTCTGCTTGTTGGTAAAAGTGTTACAATTTGAGATTGGTTGATTGGGTTTGCAGGGAACATTTTGAAATTAACAGACTTCAGGAAATTTCCCCTAAATATATACATGAGCTGCTGTAGACCTTGAGTTTGGTGAAAAACTCCAGGTGTGATACAGAGACTTGCTTCTCAAGCTTTATGAACTAATAGTAGGCAAACAGCTGGGTGCAAATTCCTCTTTGAATTGCTTAGTGGGTGCCTGCCATAATGTTTAAGAACTGGCCTCTCTGTGGATGGCTAACATCACTGCTACTTCTCGTGTCATTCAGAGTAGTAGAATGTTTTGAGTTGGTACTTGGAATGGGTCTTGATCCTGGTGTTGCCTTAAACTTGCTGTCTAGCCTTAACTGACTCTCTTTTGCTCAAATCGCTGGCATAAAGGTTTTGTCTAAAAACTCTTCAAATGCTAATCCAAAAGTACTAACTTTAATCAACACCATGCTCTAAAAGTCGTTTAAAATGTGTTTGAAGTGCTGACAGTGGCACTTGTATGTATCCATGGTGAAGAGATTATATTCGCCCTCCAAGGCTTTTATGCATCTCCTGCAGACAAGAAATGATACCTGTAGGTTTGAAAAAGCAGCCTGTGATAGCTGGTGCTGATTCTGGTTTGATTTTAATTGCTGTATCTCTTTTGCATTCAGGAAATGCTTAGTGCAGTTAAATAGTGTTCATCAGGGTTGTTGCTACCAAAAAAGTAAACAAGTAGTGCCAGACTCCAGAAAGCTCGTTTGGATTCTGGTTTTGTTGTACTTGGACTTCTTTGTAGACTGAAAGAAAGAACAGCCCAGAAGGTTTGGATTTCCCTGTGAATGTTGTACAGATCTACAGATCACGGGGCAGGCACATTGCTGAAGTGGTAAAGCTACTCCCTCAGTGCAGGTTTTGTGACAACGAGGCATGCTGGCCGCTGAGTCCCAGTCAGCACAATGTGTGATGAGGTGGTACTGAAATTAGAAAGTGGTTTATAGAAAAAGAGCAGGTGAAGATCTGCTTTATCTCATTGTCTGTGCCTTTGATTTATAGCTGCACCTACATTGCTGGGAACTGTGTTAAATTTCTTTACAGAAGTGAATGTTTGGGGTTTTTATGGCTACGTGACAGTACTACATAGACACAGTGTAGCAATAAAAAGCAACCGTCCTTTTTTCATGGTCTGTTTGCAGTTCTGTAAGCAGTAGTGCAGACTAGCTCAGCTGCTGATTTTAGCTAAGTATAGTTAGCAGAGGGATTTTTTTTTGCCTCACAAGGCTAATCTTCTTTGCGTAAGTAAATATATGGCTAACTAGTTACGATATATTACTGGTTAAAGGGCATTGCTGCTTTATGTGAACAAAAAATTGAACAAACTAGCCTGCAAGAGCTTAAAGTGCTGTGAACAGTTTCATCTTTTTACTAACTGCTGATGTCAAATACATTTTCTTTCACGTTTGTTTCTAGGTATGTCCTAGGTGGAGGTGCATTATGCATGGAACTTCTTACTAAACAGGTGAACACAGCTTCTGTTATCTGGATAATAACAAAGCATGCTTTAAAATAATGAAAAGAGGTATTTCCCCTGAGTTGAAGAATCCCAGTGTGTAATAAATCACACACTCCAAAGGGACATGGTGGAATAAACCTCAGTTCCCCAAGATTTGCCTTGCTGATCATGTGTGAGATCTTCTTTTCTGCATTGGATGGCTTACAAGAGGTCTGAGGAAGAGGCAAGAAGTGTGAGCGCATCACCTTTGAATTTTCAGAATTTCTGGGAGGAAGCCAGTGTAAAGAGTGAGTTTGGAGGAGCAAGACACAATGTTTTCTTTTCCAGAAGCCTCTGCTACTGCAGGAAATCTGCTCTGGAGAAGTGAAGAATGCAGAAGATTCTAGCCATGGATGGCTCTTGTGCAGGCAGTGTGATTGGTTTTCTCTTTAAAATCAGTAAATGAACAATAACTATTTGCAGGCTCTGGCAGAAACTTTGTGAACCCTAGGAACTAAAGCAGTGGAAGCGAGAAGCAGTAATTTACGTGGGAGCAAAATTGTTATAGCTCACTCAATGGCTTCATTAGATAGTCTTTTTACTATACTTTAGTTGTACTAGTTTAGAACAACAGGAAGTTGTAATTTCTCTTGTGATGTTGTTGAAAATGTGTAAATGCTGTTATAATGGAGCCCTTACTGTTTTTGACTTGCTGTGTGTTTTGGAAATATGTGATTTGGCCTTTTCTTTTTTCCTACAAGTTCTAATGCTATATATCATGTTCCAGATTTTCTCTGGAAAATAAAAGTTGTTAACTGAAAACAAGTAGTTAAAACTAAAACTGCAGTGCAGAAAAAAAAATCCCAAAGCACATTCTAAAATGTATTTGCCAGGTGAGCACAAAAAGCGAGTACATGTTATATAGAAATATTTCCTTCCTCCTCCAGGGCTGGAGCAGTGCCTATTCAATAGAATCAGTCATCATGCAGATCAATGCCACTTTAGTCAAAGGAAAAGCCAGAGTACAGTTTGGAGCTAATAAGGTAAATGTGCTGCGTCTATCAATTCCACAAGTTACTGTTAGGCATCCATGTCTGCTGACTTGCATAGAATGTGCTTAATGACAGAATGGCTTTTGGATTTATCTTGATGTTTGGTGCATGTAGGAGTAGTTGTTTGGCAGTTAATGATGAGTTTGTTGAGAAATTATTAATGTACAAGGAGTATAAAACCTTGGGATGGGCAGGGTGTGTTAAGTAGTTGGACCTGTACTGTCCTGGTATTGGCAAGAGGGGGGGTGAAGGAGGATTCAGATTTGGGAGGATCTGGAAATTCTGGCTCTGAGAAGGGCTGTAGATGACAGCCTGACTGCCAGGATCACGTACGCTGATGTTAAAAAGTTCTCCTCCTTTTACTGGACTAGACACCTGCAAATTTCTGTGAGGGTGAAAAATAATATAATGCAAATACTTCTGAGCAAGCCATTTCACATTAATCAAAATCATAATTGAAGTGTGCATGCTGGTAACGGGCCATAGTTTAAAAGACTTTGAAGTACTAAATGCTGTTTTCAAAGGATGTTTAAATACTGAAGTCGATGAAATTGTTGCTCGGATGCCAGTTCTTAAGTACTGATTCAAGGATAGTGAACTAGGTAAGGTGTAAACGTTTATCATCACAGGTCTGTCTAACCCAGTAACTATTCAGCTGGGCAAGACAGAGTGACGGTGGGGATTGCCTGAAGTCCACTGTTGCAGTTGCATGCACTTCTGATTTACCTCTGGCACAGAACCCTCTGATAGAGGGGCCTTTCCAGCAGCAGGGGTATACAAATTATTGCCATTACGATGGAAGAGAAATGAGAAAATAAGGGCATTTGTCTTGAAAATGTTGTGCTTTAAAGCCAGGAATGTTGTAACATTGTGCATTGTTTTTATTTGTAAGCCCACTGTAAAGTTTCTTTGTAAAACTGTTTTTAGGTTTTGCATGTCTAGATGCAGTTTTAATGTTATTTTTTTCTCTTTTCAGAATCAATATAATCTAGCAAGAGCACAGCAGTCCTATAAGTCATTAGTACAAATCCATGAGAAAAATGGTATGTACATTCCAGCACTGTTGTTCTTGTCAGCACAGCAACCTGGGAATTGGCGTTTGGCTGCAGTGAAATCTGAAGTGCCAGAGTGTCTTCTGTTGGCTTGGGAAGACCATAGATGGTGTTTCCTTTTTCTCATCTTGCACTAGGAACACAATAGTGCTGAAAGTAACCTGACTAACAATCACTGCCACTTTTCTGGCTTACATGAATATAGAGATATTCTGTGTGTTCCTACTGCCTTTTGGAAGGTAGTTCAATTTTCTTGTCAGCCAGTTGGTCTAGTAACTTCACTGTAGCCTTTCCAGTGTCTGATTTATTAGGGAAGTGCCTGCTGGAAGTTTGCCCCTTTCTCTGAAGGCTTCAATGTGGCAAGACCTTAGTAGCAGTAGTCATTAAGGAAGAGAGAAAGTTAAAAGAAAGACCAGAGACTAAAAAATACAGAAAGACCAAGTGAAGTGCACTGGCTGGAAAACTGTGCAATAGAAATGGGAGACATTTTATTATTTTTTTTTTACCCTATTCAAAGCCAGTTAATGGTCTCTCAGCTGCAAAAAACCAAGTGTTCAAGTGCTTCAGGCATAATTGCATTCATTGTGTGAGGATGAGAAGGCAACAAATGACCTGAGGCTTTAAAAGGTTTAAGTGACTTAATATGTTATGTAAAAGTAGTCAGCAGAGTTGGTAGCTGGTCTCATGATGAGGGAGTTAGTCCCAGTTACCACTTCGGTTTTGTTCTTTGATCCAGGTTGGACAGAGTGTCCTCGGGGAGTTCATGTTGCTATGATCATGAGAGTATATTTCAGGGTGACTGTGGGGAGCGCCTCAGTTTCCCTCCCTCTAACATTGAACATAATGCCTTTGCTATGGTTGGAAGGAAGATCAAAGATAACGACTTCAAAGTGCTTTCCAATTTTATGATATTTTGTTCTTGCCATTAACTGAGTCTTTTGCTTTTTTAGTTTGCTACAAAAGCCAGCATGGCTGTCTGTTTACTTCTAGCTATATGCTAGTCTTGACTACAGTGATTACTGCTGCATCAGGAGCTGTACACAAAGCGTTCACAGCATTTAGTGCTGCTGCAAAAGGTGTCTTTAACTTATAGCTGCTACCTGTTCTCTGGGACAACACAAATAGCCCCCGTACTTACTGTACAAAAATGTAGAGAATTTTTTTATGATAGTGGCTGGGAGACTTCAGATTGGAGATCTGGAGGTGTCTAGAAAAAACTTGATTAGGTATGATTCAACTGCTAAACTGCCCAATCCCATCAGGAGGCAAGTTATTCAGCTGACGTTTCTGAGCCCATTCCTACAGCAAGATTTGCAGAAGTAGGATAAACCGTTCAAATGCTTGCACTTGCCTAACTCTTCAGTATATGCAAGATGGGATTTGTATACAAGTATCCCAGTTGTGTTTGTGCATTAAGGGGATTGAAGACATGGGGTTTTACCTGTACTCCATTTGGTTTTGTTACAGCAATGTTGCTCCTTCAACAGCTTCCTCTGATGTCCAGCTTGTCCAACTCAGGATAGCTGCTGCCACAAAAAACCCCTAAACTTGGAAGTATTTAATTTTCATGCCCAGGTACTGGGTCTGATTCTGGAATATGCCATGTGCTTTTTTATCTCCCACTGCAGACCAGTAGCGTTGAGGGATGGGGTCTCAGTGAGCTGGCCTGCTTTAAGGGGGAAGGAAGAAGGCAGATCAGGCTTCCATCTCCCACAAATTGGGAGTAAGATGGTTAAGCTTGTCTTGACGTAGCAGTGTCAGTGCCTAATGCGTATCTCTGTTCTCCGCAGGCTGGTACACTCCTCCAAAAGAAGATGGCTAATATTGGACTGTTGTGTATCTGGACCAATGTCAACAAAACAAGCTCTTTTTTATGTTTTCCAACACAGACTCAAGCTACGAGTGCCCCTATAACAGCCGTACTGAAGACTTTAGCTATTAGATAAGTTAGTGGATAATCTGTCAACTGACATGTAAAGTATAAGTTACAGCCTTACCATTCCGCTCTTCTTAGGTATCTGGACTGAGCAGTTTGGGCCTTTACTGTATTTGTTCTTATGGATGAAGCATATTTGGGCCATGCCCTCCCTTCTCTTTTTTTTTTTTTTTTTAATTTGGAAGCGTAAGCTCCCTTCATCAGGCTATCGAGTTACTGAAGATCATTCAATAGGAGTGAGTTGTTCACACACTTTTGTGTATTTCTTACCTTTTGCAAAATACAGACTGCAGAGACTTGCATTGTATTGTTTCATTTAAAACCAAGAAGTTTAATACATTGTTTGATACTGTTTTAGGAAGTGTCAGGTCTTGCAAATCACAGTAGTTTTTCTGGTCTAAAATGACAGCATTTGTAGTATTTCCAAATTAATGATATAGGAAAAACACATGTATGTTAAGACATTAAACATTTTTCATGGCTGTATGAGAATATGAACTGTTTCTTGGAGAAGATGATCTTTGTTTAGATTATGTTCATTTTTTGTTTTGGTTTGATTGTTTTGGGTTTGGTTTTTTTTTTTGTTGTTGCTGTTGGAATTTATTTTTTTTTTAAGCAGAGCAAGGCTGTGCCAATAAAACCTTCTAACTAGTCACTTCCACTGGGGCATCAGAACTTGCTGGGCTGTTCCTGCTACTTCTTGGCTCAACCTCCTTAACAAGAAGAGCCGCAGTATGAAGCTTGAAGTTATGTAAAATACTAAAAAAAAACCTTTTTAGGTGTTCCATTTTATTAACGGGTTGTTGCAATCATTTGTAAACTAATGAACTTATAAAGTGATTGGCACAAGTTGAGATGAACGTCCTTGAATGAAAATTTTTTATATAAAAGCTTACAATAAAGTACAAAAACACGTCATCTGCTTCGGAGGTTTACGAAATGTTGCCATAGTCACGACAGTGGTTTTGTCACGGAGAGACTAATGAGGACTGTTGGTTCTTTGTGAGGA